CACAGGCGCCCGCCACAACGCCTGGCTATTTTTTGGTTGCAGCCGTCATTGTTGTTTGGCGGGCCCGGGCCGGATTCAAACCGGCACCTTGGGTGTACATGGCTGGCGCCTTAGCCACTTGAGCCACAGGCGCCGAGCCGATATTTTATGTATGCTATTATCATCCCCTAACAAAATTAATAATGGTTTTTTGGTATCAAATTGTTAGTCAAACTTAGTTTTCTCAAATGACATTTTACAGTAGTTTGTGTAAGTCAGAATCCCAGCAAGGTCCACAGTTCACATTTAGACGTCTCATTTCATTTAAAGCAGCCCCCCTCCTCCATCCCTGCTGATAGACCGTCTTGTTCCATGGTCCACACTCTGGATTTATGTGATAGTTTCTTTGTGGTGTCATTTAACATGTGTGTGTCCATCATCTGCATTTCCTGTAAAAGGATGTTCATTTTGGAGGCTCAGATTCATGTTCAATATTGTGTTGGCAAGAATGCTTTGAACTGGTCCTTTCTGTTTCTTACTGTATTTCATGCCCAGTGGGATGTTAAATGGGTCAGGTGGACAGCCTGACCACTGTTAGATATGGTTCTTTATGAACTTTGTATGCAGTAGTTTTATTTATTATCATTGCCTGAATCCATTTTTTAAACGATTGTAATTGTAAGTACACATTTTACCTATTACAGAATCATATACATAGGACCCTTTTGCCATAATATGATCCTAATTATGTTTAACTTGCTTTAGTTTCATCTTATTTTTTGTGTTAGGGAGGTGCAGCTCCTTCGAAGACAGACTGATACATCTTTGGAAGTTTCTTTGCTAGAAAAATATTCTTGCTCCAAGTTTATAATTGCTATAGGAGGTAATGCAGTAGGTAAGTAAAAACACAGAAGACCAGACATTATGTTGAATGAACAAAATACAAACTTATTATTTCCTTCTATCATAGAAGATTTTAAGTGTTTATTTAAAAAAGAAGTCACAGTAGAGTAACTTTGTTTCTGAATAAAATATATTGCCTGCTCATGTTCTTTCTTTTAAATAAACTTAAAAAATAAGATTTAGGGAAAATGTTCCTGGTTTCAAGAACTTAGAACTGAAGAAAACTGTTCCTAGCTTGTTGAAGTATCTGGTTTATTTAAATGCTTTCAAGTTAATGGAATTCTTTGAGAACATAATGAGAATTCTAAAAACATTTTCTTTTTTTTTATTTTTTAATTAAAAAAAAATTTTTTTTGAAGACAGAGTCTCACTTTGTTGACCTTAGTAGAGCGCTGTGGAGTCACAGCTCACAGCAACCTGAAACTCTTAGGCTCAAGCATTTCTCTTGTCTCAGCCTCCCGAGTAGCTGGGACTACAGGCACCAGCCTCTATGCCTGGCTATTTTTGTTTTAGAGACAGGGTCTCACTCTTGCTCGGGCTGGTCTCAAACCTGTGAGCTCAGGCAACCCACCTCACCCAGCCACTCTAAAAATATTTTCGAGCACTTATGTTGTAAGGTCTTTGCATGTGTTAATTCACTTGGTGGGTTAAGTTAAAGCAGTGTAGAGTTCAGCTAGAACAATGTATGTGCACAAGTACACACATAAACCTTTGTATTTTTAGGGGTTTTTAAAGAGAGCATTGGGGAACCCCAGTTAAGCCCCCTTGCTCTATGAGATATGCCGAGTGTTTGTAGAATGTAACAAGTACATGATAAATAATTATTGACTTATTTTCATAAAGTTACACTAACCTAAATTTTTTTTTTTTTTTTGGTAGAGATAGAGTCTTACTTTATTGCCCTTGGTAGAGTGCCGTGGCATCACAGAGCTCACAGCAACCTCCAACTCCTGGGCTTAGGCCATTCTCTTGTCTTAGCCTCCTGAGTAGCTGGGACCACAGGCACCTATCACAACACCTGGCTATTTTTTTGTTGCAGTTTGGCAGAGGCTTAGTTTGAACCCACCACCCTCAGTATATAGGGCCAGCGCCCTACCCACTGAGCTACAGGTACCGCTCTGACCTAAAATTTTTTATAGAGGAGTGATAAAGTGAGAGAGTATGGTAAAGAACTATCTCCAAACCTGTCTTCTCATTCCTGGCTCTAGTATTATTTTCTTGTCTGTGTGGCCTTTCACTTCTTGAGGGCCTCAGTTTCTTTCTCTGCAAAATGTTAGAGGGTTTTGAATGGCACTTGTGTCTCTAAAATGCTAGAATAATTTGAGCTTACTTTGTATTGAATAGAAAATGCAGCTTTATAGAGCCAAATACTAACTGAATGGGAATTTTTTTTCCACAGCATTTTTGTCATCATTTGTTATGAATTCAGGAGTCTGGGAAGAAGTTGGTTGTGCTAAACTCTGGAATGAATGGTGTAGAACAACGGACAGTGCACATCTGTCCCCCTCAGAGGCTTTTTGTGTGTTTTATCATCAAAAATGCAATCCTTCAGTAAGTAGAACTTGTATGTTTGAAAAGTAGAAATTTAAGCACCACTTATGCAGTATTTATTCATAATATACCTCAGGATCTCACACGCCAAGTTAGTTGTTTGCTCTGTCCATGTGCACCTTATTCTGATGATAATCCCACATAGTGGCTTGGCTCTTAAATTTTAATGAGAAATAAATAGGCCAGTAGCAGACTCAGGTAAGTAAGTATTGCATATTACATACTTTATATTATATTAAGTGTTATGTTAGGATTTATATGATACATACACGGTGACACTTTGGGGTATGTATAAAACTTACGGACTTAGAACATGTGGAGAAAGAAAAAAATTATTTGATTTGACAAAAAACTTGGAATTCTTTTCAGGTTTTCCTTTGTCAGTGCAGTTGCTACGTGGCTGAAGATCAACAGTATCAGTGGCTCGAAAAGGTAAAAGAGAGAAATGAAAACGTGTGAATGGTCAGACCACAGGGTTTGTGGCATTTTTTTAAAGGTTCGGTGTCTTTTTTTTTTTTTTTATTTGAGACGGAGTCTCACTTTGTTGCCCTCAGGAGAGTGCCATGGAATCATAGCTCACAGCAACCTCCAGGTCTTGGGCTTAGGTGATTCTCTTGCCTCACCCTCCTGAGTAGCTGGGACTACAGCGCTCTCCATGACGCCCGGCTAAGGGTTTAGTGTCTTTCACTTAAACCTATGTAGTCAAACATTATTTATTTATTTATTTATTAAGACAAAGTCTCACTCTGGTACCCTGGGTAGAGTGCTGTGGCATCATAGCTCATAGCAACCTCAAACTGCTGGCCTCAAGAGGGCTTCCTTCCTCTACCTCTCTAGTAGCTGGGGCCACAGGCATGTGCCACAATGCCTGGCTAGTTTTTCTGTCTTTAGGAGAGAGACGGGGCTTGCTCTTGTTCAGGCTGGTCTCAAACTCCGGAGCTCAAGCCGTCTACCCGCCTCGACCTCCCAAAGTGCTGGGGTTACAGGCATGAGCCACTGCGGCCTGCTTACATAGTTCAACATTGATGTCGGGAAGGAATTCGTTTTTTTCTTAAAAATATTACAGGAGTTTGTTATAGAATGTAAAGAATAGAAAACTCAATATGATCAAGTTAGCAAATATAATCTGTGTTGTGCTAACAATTGTAGGTCATAGAAGTATGAGACACAGTTGGCTCCTTCCCCACTCTCTTTACTATTTTGTTAGAAAGAAATACAAGCTTCCCACATGAAACAGAACGTCAAGGGTGAAACCGGTAGTGAGGATGATGCGGGTAACAGGCGCACAGGGAGAGGAGGTGTGGGAACAGGTGTTCTGCTTGCTCCAGGCTCCATAATAGTACATTCATTTTTCTTAGCATTAGGAATGAATAGATGGAGTCTTCATTTTGGGGGGAAATTATGGACTTAGTATGTGTCCAATAAAACAAATATTTGAGTGAATAATTTAAATCAACTTGGAATTTTAAGGAAAAACCATTATTTTGACAGTTGCATCTTACTTTTAAATGAAGTAGACCCTTGAAGCCTTACATGCTTCTTAGCAACATCTGTCTCAGCTTAAATCTCAGCTTAAATCTTAGATAATACAATTTATTACAGATAAGAAATTTGATATGTACCATTTTAAACAAGTTGATATACATTTACTAAAGTCATTAAATGTATTTCATTAAGAAGATCTGTGAACCATCTTGTAATTGTAAATATGATTTTATATTCTGGGAAGAGGGTCAGCTCTCAAGTTTGGAAATTGCTGTTGTATTTCTAATTTATGTAACATTGTTAAATGTTAAAAATACGTTTGTACTGTGGAATGAATGAACACATATTCTAGGCTTAAAAAAAGGTAAAATTAAGCATTTCCAAACCAAAATTTATTTTTCTTTTTTTGTTTTGTTTAGTTTTTGAGACAGTCTTACTCATTTGCCCTGGGGTTGAGTGCCGTGCGTCAAAGCTCACAGCAACCTCAAACTACTGGGTTCAAGTGATCCTTTTGCCTTAGCCTCCCAAGTACCTGGGAGTATAGGTGCCTGCCACAACACCTGGCTAGTTTTTCTGTTTTTAGTAGATTCTTACTCTTGCTCAGGCTGGTCTGGAACTCCTAAACTTAGGCGATTCACCTGCCTTGGCTTCCCAGAGTGCTAGGATTACAGGCATGAGCCACTGTGCCCATCCTGACAATAGTTTTTGTTTGAAATACTGTTGATGTTATTTTAATGTCCTAGTTTTTCCCTTTCTGAGTGCATGAGCCACTGTGTCTGGCCAATCAAAATTATTATTTTATTTATTTGTAGTTTTGGCCAGGGCTGAGCTTGAACCCACCATCCCTAGTTGCTGTGAGCTGTGATACTACAGCACTCTACCAGGATTAATATAGTGAGACTCTGTCTCAAAAAAAAAAAAAAGGAAATAGCTGCCTTGGGCCAGGTACCTCACACTATAATCCTAGCACTGAGAGGCCAAGGTGGGTGGATGCCTGAGCTCACAGGTTTGGGACCAGCCTGAGCCAGAGCATCTCTAAAAATAGCTGGACATTGTGGTAGATGCCTATATTCCCAGCTACTTGGAGGGCTGAGGCAAGAGAATTGCTTGAGCCCAAGTGTTTGAGGTTGCTATGAGCTGTGACACCACAGCACTCTACTGAGGTCAACAAAGTGAGACTCTCTTCAAAAAAAAAAAGCTGCCCTGTTTTTTTTCAGGTTAATGTTAGGGTACAATCAAATCACAATATTAGAATTTGTTAGGAAGAGTCTTTCTTGTAGCTATGTCCTGCTCTCAGAAGGTGTGTCATATTTGTGCCCATTCAGGGAGAGCACCCCTTTCTCCCCTCCTTCATTCCCCCTCCCCCCAACTTGAATTGCAATGAGTTTTTCTCCTGTGTGGGCATGGATTAGATCTTCTACTGGCTTCATATTGCTGTTGAGTACCTTGGATATTTGTATTTTCATTCTCGTGATACTTAGAAGAATGTGTTTCAACTACATCCAGGTCAATACAAATGATATGAAGTTACCATCTTTTTATGGCTGAATGGCATTACATGGTATACATATCCCACAGTTTGTTAACCTATTCCTGAATTGATGGGCATTTAGGTTGTTTCCACAGCTTGGCAATTGTCAATTGAGCCGCAGTAAACAATCTACTGCAACAGCTGCATTTTTTGTTTACATCACCTTAGATTTTATTAAAAGCTAAAAGGGTTCTCAAATCCATTAACTTTAGACTCTTCAAGTTATAGAAGAGGATATTAAGTTCTAGAGTGATTGAAACTTGGCTACAATTATGGTAACTCACAAATGAGTTTTGTAAGAATTACTTTTCAGGTGTCATTGGTGGGTGGGAAAGGAAATTAATGTTGGACGTGTACTGGTGTCTTGTTTCTGCTAGACAATAGTCCTGTAGTCACCACTGTGGTGCTCTTGTGATTTCATTCACCCCATGTCACAGACCCCTCAAGTAGGTGGTGCTGACCTTAGTTCCCAGACTTGGGGAAGGTCACCCAACATGAAAGCAGGACTGAGGTCAAACCCAGGTCAAGGCTGTAAAGGATATATTCTGTTTCTCCCTGCTACTCTCCCAGCCCTTCAGGGCATGGTATTATTGTCTGTGGTTTTAGGTGAGTAACTAGAGAAATGGCTCCATTCTGTAACAAAAGTATGTTTTTTAAATTTGAAATCAATTTTTTGTTAGGTTTTTGGCTCTTGTCCAAGGAAGAACATGCAGATAACTATTCTCACATGTCGACATGTTACCGACTATAAAACCTCAGAATGTACTGGCAGCCTTCCTTCTCCTTTCCTGAAAGCCCTAAAAACACAGAATTTCAGAGGCCGTGTATGCTGTTCACTGCTAGAACAGCCGAATATCGTACATGATCTTCCCGCAGCAGGTGGTATTGAAGTTCCTAACATTTACATTAGATCCTGTTATTGCCTTATTTTTCCTTACTACTTTCAGTGTTAGAGACCTTTTTGATCTCTTTTGGTAGCTTGTTAAATGATGATTGATAACCAGTATAATTACTGGTACGCTTTAATGTCTATACTTAGAGGTATAGTGTATTGGGTGGTGCTGGCCCCATATACTGAGGGTGGTGGGTTCAAACCTGGCCCCAGCAGAACTGCAACAAAAAAATAGCCAGGGCACCTGTAGCTCAAGCGGCTAAGGTACCAGCCACATACACCAGAGCCGGCAGGTTCGAATCCAGCCCGGGCCTGCCAAACAATGACAACTACAACCAAAAAATAGCCAGGCATTGTGGTGGGTGCCTGTAGTCCCAACTACTTGGGAAGTGGAGGC